GGGGGGGGGGGGGGGGGGGGGGGGGGGGGGGGGGGGGGGGGGGGGGGGGGGGCAGGGTGTACTCATAGCCGTGCATGCCGTCGTCGTTAGACCACTGACCTCGCATCCCTACAAAGCCNTTGCGCGGAGTGAGGGTTCTCGACCCCGCACAACGTGATCTACTCGACCGCCATTATGGTTACCGCCAAAAAAAAACAGAGGAAAAAAAAAACCGGTAAGCTGGTGGCCGAGCTCACGAAGTGAATTGGCTTGTTTTATTTACACCGCCGTTGCCAAGCGACGAAATCCCAACCCCGATGGCAAACACCAAGGGGGGGGGGGTGTGCGACAAAAGACACGAAAAAAAAACATGTAAAAGAACGATCGCACCCGGTGCCATCTCTGCGACGCTTGCGGTGGTGCTGAGGGTGCTGCCCAGCGTGTTGCCGATCAAATCTCGGGGCACAAGTGTCAACTGCTATGCTGAAACCTATACTTGATGTCTCCTTGTTCTGAATGGTGGCAACGGGTGTAATACATGTAGTTCCGGTGAATTTTTCTGGGAACATGCTGTACCAGCACGAACACGTTGACCTCTACGCCTGTACTTATCGATAGCCCCATCGCCGAACACTACCAAGGAGCCCACACCATCAACACCAAATACATTAATTCGACATACCTGCTGGTGAGCACACATGCAATGTACAAAGGAGACCACCGGTTCGACAAAAAAGTGGCACCTACAAAAGACAACCCGCCGTGTTTTCCTGTTTTTTTGTGTACCCCGTCAGGCGTCGTTAATGACCGGTCGAGATTCATTCCGCACCGGGATGCAGTTCGGCGTTGTCGACGATTCTGCTCCGTGGGGCCTGCCCTTCGATGAAGTTACTCTTGCCGAGAGGTTCCAGGCCGCCGGGTATTCCACTCACATGGTGAGCCGTTTTGAACTAGAAACGGGGGAGAAAAGTAGGCCGCTCGTGGGGATTCCGCGATTTCTTATGCCCGCTGTGTGTCTCCCTCTGTCTCTTATCCTCCCTCCTCTGCCGCGTGAGGAAAGCGTGTCTCGAACTCCTGTGCAGCATTGACCACGACGGAACCCGCGAAGTTGCACTGTTTCTTTACATGTAGTTGTCTTCTCAAAAGAGGAGATCGGTTGGTGGGGATGCATCTCAGTGTGTCGGTAGCTGGACTACGCTAGGTTCACGTCCCGCATGGAGCGCCTTTACTCAACAATCCACGCGCTGGGGGGGGCTTAGCAGAATGGTTTGTGCGGCGGACGGGGACGGACTCGGCTTCTCTCCAGCGCCATGTGTACCATCAGCCACGACCGCCTCAATCAATTAATCCCTGGTCTATGGTCTATGGTCTATGGTCTATGGTCTATCCTGTTCACGGCAGTACCACTCCCAAGCTGTGCGTGTGCTCCTTCCTTCCCTCACGGGCACTTTTCATGGGGAATGTCACATAATATCATATCGTATCATGCATGATATCAAGTGAACTCGGTAGCTGGTTCGGTCTCTGTATCTTGCGCACCAGGTTGTTATACTCGCAGAGTGAGTTTTTTCTCGCTAATTATATCCTGGTCTCCGTTGGAAGCGACGCGCTGCAAAGCTCGTTGTTAGTAAACTTGATCGACTTCATGATTCCCGATGGAACGAATTGCTGTACTCTTCTCGCGATAAAAACATCTCAGGCAGGAACCGCAGGAGGGGGTCCAATCCCCCCCCTCCCATGTGACCCCGGTTGGGTCGTCTAGCTGGTACAAGTGGAGGATAGGGGCCAGAGGGGCAGACGACAGAGGCCAATGATGGGAGAAAAACAAAAACAAAAAAAACTCGCTCTCCCTTCCCCGCCCCCCATTCGCGGGGGCGCGGAGATGACACTGCTGTACACGTACCCGTTGTTAAGATGTTCCTGTCCCTCCGTCGCCCTCCCCCCTTCCCTCCCACCCAACCCCGACTGTTCTCTCTTTTTCTCTCTCTTTCTCTCCCTCCCTCTCTATATCTTTTTCTCTCTCTCCCTCTTTCCCTCTTTCCCTCTCTCCCTCGCTGTCTCTGTCTCTGTCTCTGCGTCCCTGTCACTCTCTGTTTCTTCTCGCTCCCATGGGCGTTCAAACTCTCGCCCAAGAGACCGGCAAATGGCACCTGGGTGTGTATAACAACGCGAACTACCCCTTTTCCAGGGGATTCGACACTTTCTTGGGATACACTGGCGGCGGCGAAGGCTACTATAATCATGGAGAGTGAGTTGTGGCTAACTCTGTCTTTGTGTGCCATTCTCTCTCTCTCTCTCTCCTTCCGCCATTCCCAAACCGTCTTTCATTTTAGTTGCTCCACAAACGGGTGCTTTGCCCGGGTTGGATGCAAGCACTCTCGCGTTGATTTTTCGTTGGAATGAAACAGCGGGTCTTGAGGTTCCCCCACAACATGAAGGTGGGATGACATGTATGCGTTGGCATTGTCGCCCGTCGCCCTCACAGAAGGACATGCTTTCCTAGACACTGCTGCTGCTGCTGCTGTTGTCTCGTGGACTCCGTGTAGAAACCCACTTTTAGGCGCGCCAAGGGTCCATCGAACGAGCACCACGCGTTTGACCCGGGGGACGGGGGATGGGGTAACGAGTTGCAGTGAAGCGATACGGCTTGACTGCTGCTGGAGCCATATAGTTTTTCGAATAGACCCGCCCCCTCGTGTGTACCGAAAGGTGTGTGACCCCTACTTTCGAGGGAGCGCAGTTTACGTGCTACCAGGACTTCGGGTACGGCGACAAGGACGGTTACATCAACTTCACCACCAACACCACCCGACAGGTATCTACAAGATCTACGAAAGGAGAGGAAGGAGAGAGAATTGTACCGTTTTTTTGTTTTTTTGTTTCTCTCCCATCATTGGACTCTGCCGTCTGCCCCTCTGGCACCTATCCTCCACTTCTACTGGCTAGTCGACCCAACCGGGGTCACATAGGAGGGGGGGTTGGACCCCCTCCTGCGGTTCATGCCTGAGATATTTTTATCGCGAGAAGGGTACAGCAATCCCTTCCCTCGCGACTTACGAAGTCGATTATGGTTTACTAACAAACGAGCTTTGCAGCGCGTCGCTTTCATCCTAGACCAGGATTTATTTAGCGAGAAAAAAACTCTCTCTGCCGGGACTCGAACCCATGAGCTGGCCCTTAGCAGGCTGCGAGGCTACCCACTAGACCACCGGGGCGACCGGTGTGTGGGTTGGGGTATAAGCGGAGGATTTCGATGTGTCCCGAAGCAAGAGTATTATGGTACTTTCGTGGCACCCACCATGGAATGCTGAGAGGAATATGGAACGCCTCGCCTCGATGGTGGAACAATCGAGACAAAATTTACACCGATCTACGATCTCAAACGAATGTTTTCACGGGGGGTACTCATAGTCTTGCATGCCATAGTCGTTAGACCATTGACCTCGCATCCCTACAAAGCCGGGACGGAGCACGCCGGGTTCTCACCGGACCAGGCTCTCAAATCGCCAAGCGCGAAGCACCGTGAGGTATTCGGCGAGGTTCATGAAGGGTG